GCCCGTGGAGCTGGCTTCCCGGGGCTCGGCGCAGCGGGGTGCCCACGAAGGCGGCCCCCCTGAGCGCGTCTGCGCGCGGCCAGCGGCAGTCTCCAACCTGCTTTCTCCTGCCTGCAGCGCCACGGCGAGCGAGAGTGGAGGGGAGAGGGAGTCTTGTCTGCAAAGTGCTGCTCCCTGGTGCTCAGAGGCGGCTGCTCCAGCTCCAACTCTCATTCATTTCGCCGGTTAACATGAGAGATCATGGCCGCCTTCGGGCTTCTCAGTTATGAACAGAGACCGCTGAAGCGCCCGCGCCTCGGGCCGCCCGATGTCTACCCGCAGGACCCCAAGCAGAAGGAGGTAAGGGCGCCGGCGGCCTCCGCGCTTGTGCGGTGCTCCGCAGCGCTGACCCGGGGCCAAGCCGGCCCGGCAGGCGTCCACGGCGCTGCGGGGGAAGGGTTGGGGAGGGGATCGGAGGCGGGGCCCGGGCTGGGGTATCAGGGACCCTGAGCCACCGAGACCTGGATCCTGCCAACCCCCCGCGCTCCGCTGGGCGGTCGCTCTGCGGGGGCTGGGTCGCTTCCCGGTTGTCGGGCCTTGCACTGCGCCGCTGCGCGCTTTACCGCTTCTTCCTTGCGTGCATCCTCTTGCTCGCTCTCCTCCGTTTCTGCCAGTTTTATTTATTTATTTTTTTTTCTCGGTCGCTTCGATAAATCCTCGTAAACTTTTTGACAAATGTTGGAATGCAGTACATCGGACACTGAGGTCTTGGGTTTTGCGCCAGCGGTATAGGCACGGATGGGGGAGGGACCTTTTCACATCCTCCAGTTTGGAATGGAAGTCGTTTTTAGCTAGGTGATTGTATATTTGGCTCTGTCAATGTACCTCTGTATCTCTTCCTTAAAAAAAAAAAAAAAGATTAAGGAAACAATATTAAGGAGAAACACCAAATTTTGTCTCTAGAGAGGCAATTGGTTTTCCCGGAGGCTGTTTTGTATGTGTAAAAGCAGGCAAGTTACCTTAGAAAGGAATAGCTTCCAGGATTACTTATTTCTTTGAATGAAATTAATTGGAGAAACCTTGGCTGTTCCAGCACATACCGTAGCTTCAGTGGTTAGTGTAAGCTATGTAGGTGTGTGTGTCAGGAGTTAACAAGTAATTATGTAACAACTCTCCAGTTGTAATAATGATCACCCTGGGCTATACGGTTTGTCCAGAGACTTGGCTGTCTTTTCTTTTTTTGGTTCACCTGCTCCGCAGCTGTCCTTTCAGACTTTGCCAGCTACAGCCCACTCTCTTTTCTGTAGCTGAACATGAAACGACCATGTATTCTTTTTGTGACTCTGAAAACTCTCTTATGCAAAGTTCGCATGTCCAGTGGTTTCATTAAGGACTTTGCAAATAAGAGTTCTTTAAAACTTCTGTTTTGATAAGTGCATCTGTTTCATCAGTAGAGTCTCAGCCCAGACTGCCTAATAATGTGTCTGAGAAATCATCCCAGCGATTCCTTTTCGATTTATCACATTAAATTTGACCATCAGGGGAGTAGTTGAGATTGAAGATGGCTGGGAAGTTTACAGGTGGTGCTTCACCACAGAGTTAGGTGACAGTTTGTAGATTTCTTCTCCACTAATGTCCTTACCCATCTGCTAAGGACTGTCTCTACCTTATCCTTACCCAGCTGCTAAGAGAGAATAGAGACTGTAAGGACCAAGTGTAAATATCAGTGGCAGAACATTCTTAAAGTTTTGGTAGGGATAAGGGCAGTCATTTGGTTGACTTTTCTCATCTTATAATTAATGTTTCACTACATCTTTCTGGAGAATGACTTTATGAGGGCAACTCCCTAGTTGTGGGTTGGTGGCTCGGATTATCATGTGTGCTTGTTTAGCATTTATTTTTAAATATGACAGCCATTTCAGGATTTGGATCCTGGAGAGAATAATTTTGGATATTGGGTCATTTTCTAGAAATCTAAAATTGGAAGGAGTGACTACGTTAGAGGGTACTTTTTATACTTACATTTGAGAAAATAAGATGACTGAAGCCCAGAAACACTCGATTCGTTCGAAGGGTATGGTGAATGAGCAGACCGGGTTATCAGTGCCATGCTCATTCAAATCAGTACTGGGCTCAGGGTGAGGCTTGTGTTGCTACTCTTCTAGGATGCACTTCCCCCCAGGCGGCCGATATTCTATCTCTCTTGAGGAGAGAGTTATATGTGGCTGTAGTCAAATTTGGGTACGATATGGAACAGGTGCTTGGCTGTTTTTTGGTGGTTGGAGAGCAGATTCCTAAGCTTCAGTTATTTATGTATTATACTACTCCCTCAAAATTCCACCCAATCTTTATACGACCAGTGCTTTTATTCTTTTAATTACTGTAGAGAAACTTTATTGTGCTTTCTTGGCAGTCTTGACTTTTGCAGAAGTATGTATAAGATTATTAAAGTATCAAATCCCGTGTGTGTGTGTGTGTGTGTGTGTGTGTGTGTGTGTGTGTGTGTGTGTGTGTGTGTTTGGTATTATACACAAACATAAGATATATAATTACACAGATTCAAAAGAGACCATCGATAGTAGTACTTGGAAACATTGACTCGTGCATCCAAATTTATATGCTGTGCACCAGAGAGCAGTGGTGGTTTGTTTGAGAAAGGTCTCACTGATCTACCCAAGCTGGTCTTGAGCTCAGGATCTTCTTGCCTCCGTCTCCCGAGTGCTGAGGTCGTAGGCCTGCACCACCACAGCTATCTGGGTGGTGTTGATTTAGTGGAAGTATAGGCTTCCAGTTTGACAGTCAGGAGTTTGAATTATGGCTGAGCATCTTTGTAGCTGGCAAAGTTGCATCACTTCTCACCTGTCAACTATAGTTTAACTGTGCTCTTCCAAAAAAAAAGGTAAAACATTGTGAAAAATTTCCCCTCATATCTGTGTGAGGAAAAGCCCTCTTCCTAACAGAAGCTGCCTCCTCAATGTATGTGTAATACTGTTCTGCAAATAGGATCTCAGGGTACTGAGAGGGATCCTTTAGTGAGGACCCTATAGGGAAGACATGATGAAAAGATGATCTACTAACCTGCTCATCAGTTGATTGAGTCCATTCAAGAGCTGGCAGGACTCTAGCCTCCCTTTAGACTTTATTAAATGTGGTGCTATCATACTTTAGTCATCTGCACACAGACTGTCCCCCAAACTTTAAGATGGGGAATCAGAAAAGTGGGAGTCCTTCTTGATTCTCCCTCCCTTACAGCCAGCTCATCTCCATATCAATATTACCCATTCGCCAGTGTCTCTTGCCTGATCTACTTCCGGAATAGTTTGGATTTCCAGTTCATCTGATACTTCTCAGTTTCGCCAACTTGCTGAATTTTTCTTTTCTTCTGGCGTTAGGCTGACTCCCTGGAATTCTTGCATATGTTGGTCTGCCCGAACACCTGCCTTTCCTCCTCCGTCCTCACCATCCATCCAGTTCCCACATAGCTGTGGTCCAGAAGGTGGGCTCTGGAGCCACTCTGTTTGCCTGAATCTGGGCTGTTTTGTTCACGTCCCCCTTCACCTCCCTACATGCCAGTTTCTTTCCTCGTCGGGTGTGGATGAGATTGCCGCTGCTTTCCTGCAGGGTGGCTGGATGCTTACATGGATAATGTATGTAGAGAATTTAGACTTGAGTCGGGCATAGATTCAGCATATACATTTTCCTGTCAGGGAGTACTGCCTCTTTATCATCAGTGACCTTCTCAGGCCTTTCTGACATGTGTGTCATTTATAATTATTTATTTGTATCTGGCCATCCCCTACCAATGGGACGGTTTCTCGAGGACAGGGAAGACATCTACATTTGCTGTCATTGATGTGTCTGGCATAGAGTGAAGTTCCTGGGATTCTGAGGGCACAAATATTTCTTGTAGTACATTAAGCAAAGAGAGATGAGTGAGTGAAAAAGCGAACAGGGTGTTGGAGGTGTTGGGAAAGTCTAGGTAAATACCCAGAGTATCCTTGCTGTCTGCTGTGAAGGCGGAGAGCTGTGAAAGTGAAATGGAATCCTAAAAGGAGGGAGAAGTTGTTTTACCTTGGCCACGGACAGTTGAATGGTAACTATGTTCAGGATATCAAATTTGTAAGAAAAACAGATTTGGGTAGAAGTAAGGTTTCTGGGCATAAGAGCCACACATAGGGCCCAGGGGAAGGATTGTGTAGTATGCAGAGCAGGGCTGCTCAGGAGAAGGGGCATCACCGGAAAGGTTAAGTCCAAATCCTTATCTAGGGGTGGAGCCTGGTGGCCTAGTGGTGGTTGATTAGTTAGCATGGACGAGGCTTCGGGTTCAGATACCCAGTACTACAAAAGAGAAAAGAAACAAATGGAGTTGGGTAAGAACCTGGGTTGTTGGGTCTCAGATTCAGCGGTCTGAGGCGTGGCCCCAGAATTTGCATGTCTAACCAGATGGAATGTAATCTGATATTGCTGGTCCAGAGCCTCCTTGGAGAGTTGGTCTAGAGAGAAGGCATCCTACTCTATAGGGCCTGCTTCCTGTGGAGTTTCACTTGACTCACTTTAAGGTTCCTCCTATGGGCCGAAGCTGCAGGAGTTTGGCTTCTCAGCCCACTCAATCGTGGTTTGGTGGGACTTTCTTCAGACATTACATCCTTAGTCAGATCTAAGAGTATGTCAGGGACTTTCCCTTACACTTGGAATACTATGCAGACCCTCAGAGCCTCAGCATTCCATCCCTTGCTCACCTCCACTACGGGGCCCCCACACAGCTTGCCTCAGTTCTGACTCCACCACTTGCCCCTCCTTTGATTCCGAGTCCTTACCTGTGAAATGGGGTTTGTATTAGGACAAAGGGCTGTATGCAGAGCACAGTGACATGTCACGTGGTCGTGTCACACATACTGCACTCCATGCAGGTCAGCTACAAGTAGCTGATGTCTTGGTAAAGGATCCAAGGGCCTTCTGTTGTCCTGATGACAGTGTCTATGAGAACTGCTCTTGGACATCAGGTTTTATTCACACTTGTGTACCCTTCTGGCTGTGCAGCAGGCCACTGCTGCTCGAACTGGCTCGTTAACGTTCACATTCCAATCCCTTGCTGTAGTGGTGTGTCTTGTTCTTAGATTTTGGCTAAGAGATTGTCCCAAAGCGGGGACACTTCTTGCAGCCCATCCTGAGCTTTTGTACTGTGGGTTACTGTGCTTCCGTGGAGCTCAGCTGTGTCTGAAATTCAGCTGTCGGGGTGTTGCATCTACTCCCCACGGCCTGTTCTCTTCACTGGAATGTAAGCTGCTTGAGGGCCGGGCCTTGTCGCTGGTGTTCATGACTACCTTGTGGCTGGGGTTAGACCAGGTACTAATTGAGGA